TGGAGTTCTGAGGACAGCGAGGTTCTAGCACATGCCTTACCATCGACTTCCTGCAGGGGGCGCAGAGGCAGTCACAACTACCAAGAACAAGGCAGCTCTCAGCGTGTGTGCTCTCTTTCCCACCATGCAAAGGACACACGACCTGAGTGATGTAACCAGAGAGGGACTCTCCATCCCTTGGGACATATCCAGGATCTCTGTTTACCTTTTATTGCTTTATCTAGGAATATAAAAAGGCAACCCTAGAAAAAGGTCATGCCAAGCAGATGAAGTGCCATGAAGGGGAATAAGAATTCTTCTATTCCCTTATCAGCAGCTCTGCTCTAGTCCTGTCTATGCCACTGATTCACATTCTATACTTGCCCCCAGAGTATTCTCCTGTAACACTAAGGGGATGGACCAGAGCGTCTTTAAAGGAAATCCTCTCTCTAACATTCTATAATTCTGTGAATTCCTGATGTTTCCTTATTAAATGCATGAGCTCCATTTTCCTTGTCTGCACAATGAACTCTGCAAGATTATCAGGAGAATTAAAGTGAATAGAGTATTTCCTGAGATCTAATACCAGAACAAAGACTATAACATTGCCATTAACCATTATTAGCACATGTCACAGGCAATTATCTGTTGGAAGGATCCATTCCATTGTCTGCCTTCATCTGAGATATGTAGAACATGGTAGGAGTATGATTTTCCCTGGTTGCTCAACATTTGAAGGTAATCTTACAGAAGCTAATGTTGCTGCACAGGGCATATTATTGGGGGAAACAACGGGCTGATAATTCATAGCCTTGGCATGCTGCATTGTACTCTAAGAGGATCACTTAAATGATAAGAGTCAGTTGCTCTTCATTCTAGAGGTGGTTCGTTTCTTCTCTTGAAACAAACTCATTTTCAAGTCAGAATTGCATCCTTAATGTGTGGCATCTTAGAATCATGGAAAAAATGGTAGGGCAATACTGTAGCCTGTGATTCTGATTACTCAGTGTTAGTGATACAGAACAAGGGGTAACTGCTCAGACGAATATGTCCTCCAGCATGACAGGATGAGGCAGAAACTGCTGGGTTGCCTGGCAGAGATCACAGTGCCCCTGGAGGATAATGGCATCGTATCACAAGGGTTCAGGGTGGGGAGAAAGAATGGATGAGTGGCTTCTCTGAGGTGTTAGTTAAAGAACTTCCAGAAGACACCATAGAAAATTATTTTCTACAGTTCTCAAACTTGGGTAAGCTCCAGAATCATGTGGGTGTCGTTGTCAGAAGTTCTGGTTGGTGAACACTGGGGCTGAATTTGTGTTTTTTTTTTTTTTTAAAGATTTATTTATTTGTACATACAGAACTGGGGTACAGGCCAGAGGCTCAGGGGCGGTGAGAGGCTTCACCAGAGACAGAGTGGGGAGCAGAACAGGCAGATGGACGAAGTACACTGCTGAGGGGAGCAGCGAGCGGGTCAGGAGAGGTCTGCCACGCCATGTGGTCTCCTCCGGGGCAGGCGGGAATCAAACTCATGCGGAAGTGGCTTTAGCTTCTCAGTGCTGTGCTTTAACCCGCTGCGCCACCAGGGAGGGCCGAATTTGTGTTTTTAAGAGGCTCCCTGATGATGCTTGTGATCAGCCAGGTTCTCCTGAAGCACAGTTGTTAATTTAAGTGTCATGGTAAGCATGTGATGTATTCACTTATTTGTGTATGCACACATGTACACATATGTATATACACATATTGAGCAGCTACTCTGTCTTATATGCAGTTTTGAGTTTCTAGGTATAATGGGAACCAGATAAAAATGGTTTTCCTCTAGGGGAGGAATCAGTCTGGGCAGTCCTTTGGTGTTTTCATTAATAGCAATTAAATAAATCCACTTTTAGTTAATAAAAATGAATCAGTCATTTTAGCTAACAAGTATTCAGGTCCCTACACTTGTTAGCTAAGGGACACTAAATACATCCATAAAGCAATTCAGCTATTATTTCAAACAGCATGTAGGAAAAGCAAAAATAGCAAGAATCTGTCATTCAGTTACCGCTCTCCAGAGTCTGGACTCTAAACACCCGCCTTTGTGGTACTCAAAGGAGGAAAGAGGATTGGAGAAAGTCATTCTGAATATTAGTGAGATAAACAATACATTTAAGTGACACAAAGATACTGCAGTAAAATTGGCGTCCTCTTCAGTCATTACCGCCTTGGGCTGTTGGAAGAGCTTTGTGGGTGACACTTCACTAGCCCAAGTGTGATGGTGGGAACAAGACTGCCCTGTGTCAACTCAGGATACTTTGGGTTGTTTGTTAGCTTTCTACTTCTCTGTCTCTGCTCACAGCAGTCACGCTTTACTCTTAAGCAATAGTGGGTTGGGGGACTAGGTGCTTGAACGTCACACGTTTGACTCAAAATATTCAGATTCCTCGGCCTTAACACTGCAGAATCTGACTGGGTCGATACAGGAGAGCTGGGAACACACATTTTGAAAAGTGTTTTCAGTGATTCCAGCGTTTGGTCTTTTGGGACCCCAAGGAAATGATGAGTGAGAGTTGACGTGGATCCAAAGAGAAACCACAGTCTGGTAATGACTCAGCCCACTCCCCTCCTCCTCGGTGGAACTCTTCCGGTGCCTCCAGTCTCTGAGCCCAAGACCATGAGACTGTATGGTGGACTACTGCTTTGATGGTCCTTGCAGTCCTCAAAATGTGTCGTTTCCCATCAGAGTTTAAGGTTTACTGAACTCAGGTCCTGGCTCAAGTGCCCCAACTGTTGACGGACAGGTGACCCTAGGGCCAGTTTTTCCCAGAGCTGATTGTGGCAGGATGGTGCACCCCTGGGACTCAGGACTCTCCATTTTAAAACGGTGCTCAGCAAAATGGTAAATGTACAATTTTATGTGGAGAACTCCTAATAAAAGAAGTGGTGTGAATGTGCTGAAACTGGGGTGAGTACAACCTCAATCCTGAAAATATTGTGGCCTGTGTCACTGTCACAGGTAAAGGCCACCACCTTCTGAAGCAACCTTCAGCTACTGGCCTTGTGCTCTGTCATGAGAACAGGCTGCCCAAGGGGTAAACCTCTCTCCTAGCTGCCTGCTAATCGGCAAATTCCTTGCTCCCAAGTAAGACTGAGTTTTCTTTCTCCCTCTTCTTTTCCTCTTTTAGAAATGATATTTTTGCCAGTGATAGGATAAAACCATCTATGATTAGTTCCCCTTCTCCAAAAGCAAGGAGCACATGAATAATTAACTCTATATCTTTGAATTATTTAAATTCTCTGACAATATTCATTGCCCTCCACCTTCTTTTCACAGTCTTTTACACCCCTCTCTGTATCTTCCTGGATCCCTTCTCTAAGGCTTAACCCTACCTCCTGTCCAAAATAATGGCTGCTGGGGGTTGGTGACCGGTTGTCCTGGTTTGCCCAGAACTAGGTAGAATGGTGGAATGGGGGGCTCCTGGGATATAAGGCTGTCTGGCTTAAAGCTGGCATCTCCAGGCAAGACAGCATAAATGGGCTACTGCAGCTTGATTCCGTCCAGGAGAGACATCTTAAAGACAGGAAATACCTTCAGAGCAGAGCTAGGAAATGGTACATTGTGAAGTGGCAAGATTGGGTTGATGTCTAGGGTAGGGAGACCGATGTCTCCATCACCTCACAATGTTTAGTGGTGTCTTGGCCAGACCAGAGTTGGACACATGCCATTAGCATCATCTAAATAACTGCTTTACATGGAGAGATTTTTCTCTAAATTACGAATACTTGTATGCTACCAACTAGAGATAAGATTAATTAATCCAAGAAGGACCTCAGTATTTGGTATTTTTAGGGTTTTCCAGGTGATTCTGATGTGCAGACAGACCTGAGACCTACAGGTCCAGGCATATGCACAGCTAAATATACTGACGATTCTGGGGAAGGCTTTCTCTCATTGCCTCTGTGGATTTGCTTTCTCTAGAAGAGCTACAGTGGTGCAGTTTTCAGTTTCACTACCCTAAGTGTGGGTTGCAGATGGGTCCCAGTTGGCAAACTGCTTGTTACTGTTCCACCCCCAGACAGGAGAAATAAGCGTAAGCACCGAGAACCTTCTTAAGACAATCAGAAAAGTCAATGTATGTCTAAAAGAGCTAATAATAATAATAACTTGGACTTGTATTTTGTATCCTGAATCTTGTCTTCTTAAATTTTTTTTTTAGCATTACCCTGTTGTGTTTTACAAAATAGTAGTTTGTGACAAATGGGAAATTAAAACAAACCACCAAACGTGTTGTAGAGACACTGCCCTAGAATAATAAGTGATCTGGTCAGGGAACAGAGAGTTTACCTTGACCTGGTACACCAAGGAGAGCTGCCTGCAGCACTGTGTGAGAGAGATCTGTGAGATGGACTCTGTCGACCACAGGGGCAGGGCAGAGAGGAGAGTGTGAGTGCTGAGAAGTTGTCTGCTTGACACAGTCCAGTGCTCACCTTGTACTCACTGAGGAATGATGGACCAGAAAGAAAAGGAGACGTCCCCCAAAGCACACTGAGTTGGGGACTAGTAGGGACCAGGACCCAATCCTTTCCCCCCCCATGCCATGCTTTCTCTTCTATCCTTCTCTCCCTTCATCTTGACACCCTTGGACAAGACCAGCCTGCTGCTCACATTGCATGATTTGGGAGAATTGTTGTATGAGAAGTACATTCAATAAAGTTGTGTACTTCCTCAGAACACAAGCTGAACCAGTCAGAATCAGTCACAGCCAGTCCCGAACTCATCTAAGACGCAGGTACCACCAGCCCCAGGGCTCCTGAGGGTTGGAAACACCACCGCCCTGGGGTGCATGTCAATACCAAGGTCTTCAACCACCCCCAGCTTTTCCACCCTGCTATTTGCGAGTCTGTAAACCTAGAATATTTTTTTTATCAGACATGAAAGTCGTTGTTAATCCAGTGTATCAACCTATTGCTTTGATATAACCATCACACGACTGAAAACCAAGCACAGTTCACTTAAACTCGAAAGGCAGATTAAGGAGACTTACTGTGTCCAAAAGAAGTTTCTCGGCTTTGTCTCGGCTGATATTCTTATTATACCACCTGAAGGCAGGAAAAAAATTCTGTGTCAGTGTTTTTTAAAAAATTTCCTTATGCATAAAATACAATTAATGTTAGAAAATGAGTTGTTCATTTTCTGTTGTTGCCAGGGTTTCCCAATTCAAAAGCAAAAGCATGAATCATTTCCAGGTAAGATATTTACTTGGGCAGGAACAAATGAATCAGAATTGACAAAATATTGATATTTACTGAAAGTAGGTTTTGGGTATATAGAGGTTCGCTGTATTATTCTCTCTATTTTTGTCCATACTGGGAGTTTTCCTTAATCAGCTTTTACAAAACATTTATCTTCTTCTACACTTCATTAATCAGAGGTTGGTTGTAAGTGGGATGATGGTATAGCAGCTATAAGAATTTAATACACACTTGAAAATTTAGTTAATATCCTATTTTAAAATAAATACAGAATTTCCCTCTTTAAGTTGGGTTTTCAAGATCTGTAAAGACATACTTTCATAATTTGGTGTCTGTTAAAAAAAAACAGCGAAAGAATGGGAAAGAAGAATAAGAATATGGGTGAGTTTCAGGCTCAAAATTTTGAATGTTGTTAATACTTGATCTACATCCTGGTCCTTCAGGCCACTTACTAGGTAAGAGATGATGGATAAATCATCAATTAATAAGCAGTTTTGGGAATTCCTAAGTCCAGGAGGAGAGAGGCTCTGGGTGGGAGGGAATGGCACTTCCAAATTGACATGTCTTTTTGAGAGTATCTCTGGGTAACGGAATTGGTGCCATCGTCTGAACTTATGAACTTTTGAACAACTGAGTGTTATATATACCCCAGTGGGCTCTTACCCAGTTGAGGACTGGAAAATATGCTCATCTCATGTGCAAACTCTGGTCAATTAGTAATGGAGTGTGTGTTGGAAAGCTTAAAGCCAGTTTGGCTCAGTGTGAAGAGTGTCACATCTAAGAGTCTACCCTGAGTTCCGACACAGGAAGGGGAGGCCGACAAGAGCCATGATTTGCTTCCTTCATTTCCTCAGACCCTTCATTTTAAGGAAAGGGAATCAGAGATACAACCTGGTAAGGAAACCCACCCAAACTCATGCCCCCAGACAAGGCAAGTGACCTCAGGCAATCAGTTCACTGCCCATGGCTGTGTTCCCAGGTGTATTTTTGAGTTCTTATGTAAATACCACCTCAAACTAGACAACATTCAGATCAAGAATAAAAACTCGTTGAATTTGGGCTATTTTCTTAAAATAGTTATAGCATGCTATATTTTATTATAAGCCCTGTCAACAACAGCACGATGAATAAAACAACCAAAAATACTTCATTAGGTCTCTTTTATGTCCTGATGTATGCCAAACGTGTGAGTGCTTGAGTCATTTTATTCTCTAGCTGTAATTCAATATCTGAAAAATACAAGCTAATGGAATCAACTGGATGCACAGACTGTTTTGTTTGTAGGCTGCAGTGTTTTAACTTAATAATTACTTCAGGAAGAGACTATCTTTTTTGACACAGTCAGTGCCATTCCCTGTTACTTTATAGTCATTGGAATTTTGAATTTGCCCCTTCTATCAAAAATGAAGAAACTCTGATGAAAAGCAAAAGCAAAAATATTTTCCCAGACCATGTGAAGCACTTTTTTTCTAACGGCATTGTCTATTAGAAAGGGAGCAATTTTATTTACACACCATTCAGACATATTTCACTGCAGCTGAAGTAATTTTGGAATTGATGTGTAACTTCTGCTTACTAAGGGAGTGGCCACTCTGCTAACTTGATTACAATGAACCTTAGGTTGAGAGTCTTCAGAAAATGATGGCTCTTCATGACAAAATCCATGAAAATTTCACTAACAAATAGCTACCTTTGAACTACCAAGAATCCTGAGTTAGTAGTAGCTTCATTAGCTAGCATTCTTCAATTCTAGAAGTTTATGACTGGTGAATGCTAAAAGAAACCTTACTCTTTAAATAATACAAATTTACCTCCAAGTTGAAAAATATTTTTAAAAAACTCTATATGCCTTTTACTCAGCATTTAATATTGCCATTTCCTCTAACAGTTATATTTTTCTGAACCAGTTGAAAAAAGATAATTACTTGTAAGTACTTCAGCATGTATTTCTGAGAAATAGAATGCGCACCTACGTAGTGATAGTTATCAGGAAATTTAATGTTGATATGATATTAATAGTTAAATATAGACTTGCAGTCCAATCCAAGTCCTAATGAGGGGTTTTGTAACTTTTTTGGTGATGGCTCAAGATCCAACCCAGGATTACAAGCACATTTAGTTACAGCAACTCTGTGATCTCCCTTAATGTGGAACAATTTCTCAGATCTTCTTGTCTCTCATGATAGTATTCTTTGGAGAGCGCAGGCCAGTTATTTTTTGGAATATTCCCTCTGTTTGATCTGTCTATGATTTCTTCACAACTAAATTCAGGTTCTGGTGTTTGGGCAGAGTCATCACAGAGGTACATGTCCACCTCAGGACATCCCATCAAGGGTATCAAAATCTGTCCCACTGTGACCTTTGAGCATTTGGCTAACTGGGATGGACAAGCACACATTGTACAAAAATGAACAGTGATGTAAAACATATATAAGAGAAAAAATATATTATTAAAAAAATTAAATGTTACAAGAAAATAAATGAAGTGTGTTTTCTCATGTTAAAAAAAAGATGGCAGCTATTTTCACTTTGTCACTAGCCTGGGATTTGTGAGCTACTTTGACAATGGGAATATCACTGCCCCCATGGGGTTGTACCTGTACCACATTCTTGCCTGAATCAGTTGACACTTTGATTTATAAAAGGGTGATTTTGTAAACTCTGTCAATCCTTTCACCTTCACTCACTGGCCTTCTACTGCAAGAAAGGGGGATCTCATTTATTATTTACTTAGTTTTAAACTTTCTGATAGAGCTATCTATTCATGATTGATTCTTATTTTACTTAGTAGTTTCTAGTCCATCGATGTCATTATTCATTTTGATACTCAAAGTGTCCCAAATTTGGTCAGAAGGAACAACTTTAATCTGACTCTGCGGTCATTTAAAAAAAAAAAAACAAAAAAAAACAAAAACTGAGTGCATCAGTTTTTTTAAGTTGCACCAATTTATTTAGTTGTTGCACAACAAGTTGTTCCCACTTCACCGTTTTCTTTCACCTGGCCCTCTTCTGAATCCCCAAGCGATTTCTCCAAGAGACCCTGGTTCTTTTGAGTGGGAAGTGCTATTTAGAAAACCCGATCTGGGCCCTCCCTGGTGGCACAGTGGGTTAAAGCGCTGCACTAAGAAGCTAAAGCCACTTCCGCATGAGTTCGAACCCCCGCCTGCCCCGAGGTGATCCACATGGCGCGGCAGACCTCTCCTGACCCGCCCACTGCTCCCCTCTACTTCATCTATCTGCCTGTTCTGCTCCCCGCTCTGTGTGTGGTGTGTGTGGTGAATCTTCTCACCGTCCTTGCACCTCTGGCCTGTACCCTAGTTCTGTATACATAAATAAATAAATCTTCAAAAAAATAGAAACCCAGATCCAGGAACATAGTGCTACTGTGGTGTGGTGACTTCTGGGTTTTTTAGCAGCCAAGTGAGGTCATATATATATATGATGAACACTTTGTACACTGCAGTTGGATTCTGTCAAGCATTAAATGGCTTCATTAGAATTATGTCCCCATGGACTCCTCAGGGACAGTTAGCACCTGACAACATCAGCTAAGCAGATATATACTGTCCACTTCTTTGAATGCTGTTTTGGTTTTGGAAGTTTTGCATTAAATAGTATTAAATTAGTTTGCATTTGGGCCAGTACTTTAGAGACTAAAATTCCTGTGTTTCCCTGGAGAACTTCTTCCTATTGCCCCTAACTGCATGGGCATCTGAGATGCAGCTCTTTGACGAGAAGTGTGGGTTGAGGGTGAACTGTTTAATGTTTAATGAAAACCAGTTACAGTGTACACTCTGTCACCATAGTCACATCTCTTCTGGCTGCCAAAAAGTCAGGGTCAACCACACCAAAATGCCCATCTTTTCTCCTACTTAAAGGGTTCATCTCCTTCTTATTTAGGGCTCAGACATGGGAGAGGGGACAGTGGGTCTGGAAGAGGAATGCCTCTTCATAACCAACTCCTCAGAAGGACCCCTCATACCATATTTTTAGGAAAGAAAGAAAGTCTCTTACTCGAAGGTTTCCAGACTGTTTGCAGACTTCTCGACTAGGTAACTGCTTGGTACATAGCCTTCATGCCTGTTAAAAGGGAAATGAGTGTTTAGACCAATACAAGGCCAATGTCTCTCTCTATCTGCGAGGTGTAATCTACTGAAAGATGTTCAAGGATTGGTGCATATCATTATTTGACATCCTGGAAAAAAAACTAAAGTTTTGGATTAACAAATGGCCCCCAAACTGCAACAAGTTGCTATGTTAAAGACAGCAAATTTCTCCACTAATATCTGTACCCTAATAAATAAGTAGTGGTTATTTTACATAAAAGGTTCCCTGTGCTGCTCTCTTTATTATGAACTTTCCTCTACTGGAAAAAAAAAAAGATGAATGTTTAATCTCCATTTTCTATAAGGAAACATTTTGTTGGGTGATAGATAATCAGTATTTTTTCCACTGTGGGGCTACAATTTTATAGTCAGGAAACCAAAATAATTAAAATGTAAAAGATTACTTTCCAACCACAAGTCCCTAAAGATATTGCCACTCTGCCTTGCCAGCTTTTAATTCAAGGCCTCCCCAATATTTTTTATGATCATTGAGCTCTTCAGTCACAGATGATATGAACACGGATGATATATGTATCTGGGGGCAGAAATTACTTTTGAGCAGGAATAAGTGTGCATAAACTAAGATGCATGGATAAAAAGACAAATTAGAGCATCAGAATGTGTCTGTGTAAGTTTGTAGCACTTCACAGATGTAATCACAGTTAGTAGCACAAGGTGAGGGCTTATCTGGATTTCTAGCTCCAAACCCAGATGGGACACAGCAGAGGTCCTAGAATCCTAAAATCCCTAAGTGCCCTCAGACATTGCCCATTTGTAATGATGGTGATCATTTCTTGCTCTTTCCTCCATAAAGTGTTTTAGTTTTTGTATAACAAGGCTGTTTGACAGTCTAGGGGTTATGTTTAATGGGGAGTGTGTAACGTCTTACATGTGGCCTCCTTTGGAAAATTGAAATGCAGCCTCAGAATCACTCCTAACCTGGTGCTCTAGGCAGTCAATGCCAGTGGTCAGGAGCCCCCTTGTTCTGGACTTTTCCATTTCTTTATCCCTCTTTTGGAATCCCTCTTCCTGATCTGTTTTTGGCATCCATATGTGTGCAGTCATATCCATAGATCATATAATTTTTTGCTTTCAGGAAGAATAACTTTTTCAATATGCCAACCAAAGCTGGGTTACTACACAAAGGATGCTAATTCTGTTAGTCCTGCAAAGTAGTTAACAAGGCTATTTCAAGAGAGGATGCCTTGAAATGTAATGTTAACTTTTAGCAGATGTAAAGTAAAGCTTAAACTGTAAAAGTAACTGCTTCTTTTTTACTCTGCAGACTAGTTTTTCAAAAAAGTTGGGAATGTGAATTTGGCAATCTTTTTGAGGGTAGTTAAGATAGCACAAGCTCTGACTTCACAACTCCATAGCTAGAAATGCGAGATATGTATGTAGCATATATAATTTTTATTTTCAAAAGAAAAACATTTTTTCAAATATATGTATAAACACACATACATACATTTTCAAAAGATTGCCAAGATGCAGGTACATAAACAACATAAGGACTTCACTGAAGGTTTGTTAAAAAAAAAAAAAAAACAAAAAACATGGAAATAAAGTGTTCCATCATAGTAAATTATTTAAATATTTATCATGCAAGTGTGCATTCCAAAACTCCACACTTATTTTCAAATAAAATTGGTTTTTGTGTGCTGGTATGAAAAAAATCTCCATAATATGCCATTGAAAATGAAAAACAAGGCAAAGAACAGGGTAGGCGAGAAAGGAAAGCTTTGCTTATGTATGAATTTTCTGTCCAGAAGATACAAGAAATCCTTAGTTGTGATGCTTTTGAAATTGATGTGGGGCAAATGGAGGATGAGTTGTTTTTCTTGTATACTTCTCTCTCTCTCTTTAAAGAAGATATTACAGCATTATCCAGGTATTGCTATGTTAGTGTTCTTTTGCCTTTTTATGTTTTTAAATTAATAATCTCACTTGAAAAATGTTTAAACCATTAACATTACTATTAACATAAAAGGATTTCGTTGCAGGATGCTAAATATTTGCAAAACATTGGAAGCAACTTCTGTGCCCAACTAAGGAATTTGCAAAATGTTGTTACAATTTTGTGTTGGGATTTTGCAATCACTGAAATTATTTACTGGAGAATATTCCATGACATAGGTAAATACTTCTGAAGCATTTGTGGGAAAATAGAGTATAAATCTAATGCTTTTAAGCTAAGCACTAGTATCTAAATCATACACAGCCTAGCGATTTTTGAAGTCATTTTGTTACCTTTAAGATTAGAAAAAGAGGCTCATAATTTTTTTTTCATTCAAAAGTTCTATTATGGACCAAGGTTCTTTGTACCACTTTGTCTATTCCATGAAGCATTTGCATAGCTAGTTCAAAGAATGGGCTGGTATCTCAGTCTTTAGTATTTCCTTTCTAATGTTTCCCGAAGTGACCACCCATTGGCACCATCTCTTCACGCTTTTTCTTTCCACCCAAAATAAGCACATCACAGTGGAATATACCTCCAGTCTCAAACACTCAAGAACAATAGTGCTTTGTGGAGTAAGTTGCCAGTCTTTCCAGTGGAACAACCTGGGGGATTTTTAGATGAGTTTAGGGTGCTGGAAGCCAGCATAGCAATAGCAGTTGACTGCACCCCAGCCTCTTCTGAGAAGTGCTGAGACTCCCTCAACTTATTCCTTCTTCTTCTTTCTGTCTCTGCTCTCCTCTCCTAATCAGTGCAGTGGTCATGCTGAAAGAGGTAGGGCAAACATTCCAGACTTTTCAGCTCACTGCAAACCTGGGGCAGCAGCCACCCTGGCACCTTACCCATTCCTGTCCTGAACTCTCCACCAGTGGATCTCAGAGCTGTCCAGCAAATAGTACTCCTCATCCCGCCGTAGCGTGAGTTCCTGGGGATCATTGGTTTGGTAGTCATACAAAGCAATGACCAGGGTTTCCTCAGTTTCCCGAACTGATCGCTGAAGGAGAAAAGCAACAAAATCAAGGCAAATCAGAGAAAGAAGAGCAAGACCAGAACTAGGTCAGGAACTGTTAGTTGCTTCTGGCTCCTTGCTGAGAGAAATACCAGTTTCAACAGCCCTCTGGGTTATTCACTGAGAATGTTCCTATTGTTGACTTTCTGCTGGGAATTAGGATCACTGTGTTGACTATGGTAGGATGACATTCAGTGTCTGAAATCCATTACCTCTCTCATCCTACCAGTAGAGTGTGACCAAGGTGAACTCTAAGCTGTCATGGGTCATGGGCTTGTCATAGGAGTCTGCTGGCTTCTTTACTATCCCCATGTCACATGCTGTAACTTCCCTACCAGCAGCATCACATTCTAGGTGTAGTTGATGCAGTCAATGCAAAATTGATCCCTGCTTTCTGATTTGTCTTGCAGGTTTGTCTGGATTCATAGAATCATATACTGACAGCATTAGACTGACTGAGGTCAATTAATCCACTTATGTTTAGAAAGGGGGCCATGACACCCAGCTATGAAAATGGGTGTGACCCAGTTTTGCACCTCACCTAGTCTTAGTGCTCTCTGCTGTAGCACATGTGTTTCCTTCATCCTCTAATGGACCTCGCATGTGTCTCTACTTCCCAAGCCCTTTTATAGGATGTGTTGAGTACTAGCAGAAAAACTTGTAAAACAAACAATCCCCAAGGCCAGGGGCTAGCAGATTCTGCAAGAGAGTTACTATGGAGAGAGATGGGGGATATTGGCTGGAATGAGATTAGGTGGGTTAGTCAAAGTTTCTCTGAGTACACTAAGCATTTGGTGGTCTAAAAATACTGAGCTACAAAAGAAGAAGAAGAAGGCTGCTCATACTGACATCACATGTCATCCCACCTGAATCCAGATTGCAATCAATATTTGTGAGTGGGGATGCTGTGCATTGCATACAGGTTAAGAGTGATGGGTCTGAGTTGATGAAGGAAGTAACAATGTTCAAGAGCACCTGAAGACAAAGGAGAGATGTGGCACCCCAAGGGATTAATTAAACTAGCAGATTAATATCTACGAATGAAAAGATTTGAGCGGGTTCTCAAATCTCGATGTACCTGCCCACAGAACATTTTGGACATTTTGGCATTTGAGGGGCTTTCAGATGTCATGACAACTGAGGGTGCTCTTAGTGTTCAACGGGAGAGCACAAAACACTCTACAGGATCCCACATCCTGCACTGCTTTTGAATATCCTGTCAGACGTGCATGCGGTGAGAAACCTGCTTGTAACACTCGCAGAGAATAATATTTGGGCTGAGAGCCTGCCTTGCCTGCATGCCAGGTGCTGCGCCTCCCACTGCTTTTGTTGAGTCTGGGGCTTTACCAAGAGCTGGCCTCCATTCTGGAGAATCATAGATGTGGACACTGGATTTGAGTCCCTGGTACCACATTCTTACATCAGCTGCACTTGGGCGGCCAAGTTCAGTAGGATGGGACCTGCTGGTGTAAGCAATGGACTATTTCTTTTTTTATAGATATAAAGTGTTGTGTAAACAGAAAATGAGGATGAAAGGAAATAATAATATGAGATGAAGATTATAGGCATAGTGGAGTTTTACATTTCCCTCTGGGCTCCCTGATAATCAAGAAAAAATAGGATTGATTAATTCCGTTAGGTGCATTATCAGAAAGAAAGAAGTAAGTCCTTGCGCTTAGCTCTGGCTAAGATAGATGATTTCTTGCCCCAGTGTTTTTATAGCAAAAGTGACAATGGATTTCAAATGACTTTTTGACATGGTTGGGCAAGACATTCCATGTTGGAATGCCTTCCAAGCTAGTCATGCCCACATTTATATGCAGAAACATACTAACTTTTGCCAATTATTGTTTTTCCTTTTGAAGTCACTGTAGTTACAGCAGTTATTGATTCTCTCAGAACAGAGTGTGTGTTTGCAGTGGTATGATCTATGAGTATCCATTTTAGGATAATAAAAAGGGCTTTAAAAAATATTTGTCTTGGGCCCTCCCTTGTGATGCAGTGGGTTAAGACACAGCACTGGGAAGCTAAAGCCACTTCAGCATGAGTTCCATCCCCGCCTGCCCTGGAGCTCATCCACATGGCGTGGCAGACCTCTCCTGACCCGTCTGCTGCTCCCCTCAGCAGTGTACTTCGACAATCTGCCTGTTCTGCTTCCCACTCGTATGCACAAATAAACAAGTCTTAAAAAAAAAAAATGTCCTAACAAGGGACACCTGGAGGGGGCTGGGAGAGGTAAGGAACCAGTACATTAGAATGTGAAAGTGAAGTGATGGCAGTTGGAAAGACTCTGGGCCCCAGAAGGCCTGGTTAGGGCAATAAGTGAAGTCACCGAGTGGGTGAGTGGCCTTGTATCCAAGTTACTCTGTAACAGGCTCGCAGGACCTCCCATGGCCCTCTGGGGAGCCACTAGGCTGAGTGTGTGCTCCCAGAGGGCCCAGACAGTGGTGTCAGGAATAGGGTGCCTTAGCAGGAGGCTAAGGGAGAATGGACTCCAGCTGACATATTCCTGAGTGGCCCCTCAGGCAGCCCTGCTGGCTTGATGGGGAAGGGGTGAAGGAAGGAAGGCTTTATTAGGCCAAGGGCCAAGAGCAGCTGACATCCAGGCTTCCAAATGCTGATGACCTTGTGAACATCCACAGGTGTGAGACACAGGTCTGTGATTGTTGGTGATGCTCATTCTGGGTGGTCTCCTCACCCCCTGGATATCTGACCTAGGCCTTTCCCACCAGTGTCAGGCATTCAATGGCGCTGTGAACTCAAGACCTCGTCCTTTGGAAAGGGACATAGCATGAGCTGGAAGGAGAAGTGAAGTCAGTGGTCCGCGGAAGAGAGGACTTGCTATGGATTTAGAATCATAAGTCCTGAAGTTGGAGGTCTGAGAGCCGGCACAGCATTCAACAGTCTTTTGAAGTCTAAAAACCAAGTGGTAGCACCAGGGAGGGAAGAACGGACATGTTTTCTGCCTTCCACTTTCACTGAGAGTGAAAATAAGACAAGAGCAGATGAATCCAGTGGAGAAGGCGGGATTGAGATGGGTGGGGGGTACCCTCTGCAAAGCTGGACGTGGGAATCCATCCTACTGTGTCTTCTAGGGAGAGACATTCTTTACAAGATGGAGGAAAGCTAAGGGAACAGGGCCATTTTCCGTCTTTCTTACTGTGTGGGATTAGACTGCTGATGATTCTAAAAACAAGCTTGAGCTTCTGAGCCATTTAGGATTTCTCTTGTTGGGGAAGCTGCCAGTTTTTGAAATGTTACCAGAGTGGCTAGAAGAGAGCAGGAGGCAGAGCTCATCCCACAGGAAGATGATGAGGGAAAGAATACTGGAATAAAAGGCAAGAACCCAATGTGGAGATTGTTGTTAATAAGAATCGGTGTTAATAAGAATGGGATGCTTTCTCATCCCATTTTGGGGGCTGGTTTTTAGACAGAGTAGCTTTTCCATATGGGTCAATATGGACTAAGGGTATAAGTCTGTATACTTAAACCCCTAGTTTTCAACTTCAGAGTCACCTGAGGTTTCATTAAAACTCAGCCGGAAGACACCTCCTCAAGAGTTTTGGCTGCAGTGTTGGGGTGATGGGGTAGGGAATGTGTGTTTCTAATGAACTCCCATGTGAGTCTGATGATGCTGGTTCAGAGACACCCCTTTGGAGAAACTGTTCTCTCTTCCCCCACACAACTCTACATTGTGTGGCCTTGGCTGCCTCATTGCAGCAAGACCTTGGGAAAGACTCAAAACTTTCTTCCTTGGGGCTGGGGTGACCATATTTTCAAATGAGAATAAAGCAATACTTCCAAAGGAGTGAATTCCATAAATTTGTAGATGTGTATAGAAGAGCCTTAGCCATTGTATGCCTCTGAAATGATTGGATGGAAATGTGTAGGATAAACACCCCATGGCTTATTGATGTGAGGTGTTATTATACTTCAAAGCACAGGGTGGCTAGCTGAACACTCTGTGCCACACCTTTGAGTGTTTGTTGAGGGAGTAAGTAAGGTGGCCATCAGCGATCAACTGGCCCTCTTGTGTGGACAAACCCATGAGGTAGTTCAGGCCCAGGAATCCATTGTTCTGAGTCCTGCCAGTTGCCATATTTGCCCAGGTTTGGGAAATTGGGGCAGAAGCACAGCCCCACCCTACCCGGGACCAGAGCCTCACTCACCCGGTTGTCTTCAGGAGTAGGAGGAAGAGGCTTCTTTGAAGCTGAAAAGAGAAAAACAAGACAAAGAAAGTGAGCCTGAAACCAAATATTCACAACCGGAGGTGTGAGGTCAGGGGGCTTTTCAGAGAAAAGGAGCCCCAAGGAGAGCAAATGAAGAGGGTGAAGGAGAGGCTGAAACCCAAAAACAAGAACTGGCCTGGTCAGAACCCATGCTGCGTCTTCCCAGCTGCTGCAGTCAGATTGCATCTACTAGGAGATGCTAGAGACTTCCACAAGCCACTATTCTGGGTTCTTGTCCCGTCTTCCCAGGAAGAGCCTAATCTGAGGGACTGGTGGAGGGGTGAGGCTGTGTCCTTTCCCCATAAGCTCCGGGACTTCCTCTGAGCCAACTGCTCAGCTCATGGGGCGGGTGCGGGAGAGGGGGCAAGGGCACTGGTGACTGGTGACCCAAGGCAGTTTCACGCTCTGGCTTCCTGATGCTGTTGGGCTTAAGGAGGGGTCTCAGCAGGATGCTCCCAGAGAGGGTCAAACCTGCTGGACTTTAGGCCTCTGATGTGTGTTTTCGCGGCCTTCCTCTAAGCACACCCCTAACACCTGTATCTCTCCTCTGTCTGTCTCTGGCTCTCTCTGTTTCTCTGCAAGGCTATCTATGTGTCTCTATCTCTCTCCGTCCGTCGTCCGTCGTATCTGTCTCTTCCTCTTTCCTTATTTCTCTTTTTCTATGTCTTTCTCACGCTGTCTCTATCTTGTCTGTCGCTGTCTCTATCTTGTCTGTCGCTGTCTCTAGCTCATCTTTATTTCTACCTTTATCTCTCTGTCTCTCTCCCTCTATATCTCTATCTTTAGCTCTGTCTAATTCTGTCTCATTTGTTATCTCTGTGTTTCTATCTCTCTGTGTCTATATCTCAATATCTTTACCTCCATGTTAATCTCTCTATCTCTGTGTCTCCACAACTCCCTGACTTACAATCCTCCTCTCTTCTGTCTTTCCCTTTCCCCTTCTCTTCCCTTACATTTCTCTATCTCTGTCTCAGTATTTCTCATCTGAGGCCTGGAGGCATTGGACGAAAGCTGTGTTGTCTGGACAAAGAGTCTTAACAGTTAAAGCAAGGAGGGAGCAATCTGTCTGAGGAGGCTCTTGTGTGTGCATCTGGCAACGGAAGCTGGACAGCTCATGTCAGGGTTGTGGGAAGAGCAGACAGATAACAGGACCCAGCCCCTGGGCTATCTCCTCAAGCAAGGGAGAGAGTGGGTGTTGACTTGGGAAAGCCATTAACAGAGAAGAAGGAAATGAACATAAAGTGAAGTGCAGGCCCGATGGGGCACTCAGCCTGCACCAGGAGACAGTGCTCTAACCCAGCGCCACCAGGTCCAGCTATGTGGCCTTGGGTCTTGCCAGCCAGAACCGTCCATGACTAGGATGGTTCTGGCCTTGCTCTTCCCTTCCCCCTCTCCCCTCTGTGTGATGCTGGCATATGACGGCACATGGGCCAATTCTGATTGCTGTGGGTTGGGTCTGGTAGGGCCCATTTTTCCTCAACCAGCCATGCTGTTTCCCAGACATAGTCACACTTACTGCTGTATTTTGGCTACTGATTCTTCTGTCTACAAATAGAAAAGACTAGTAGCCCCCAGAATCATCAATGGAATGTTCTTTCAGTGCCACAGCTGTTCTAAGAGCTGTCTACAACCCCATGGAGTCTCCCAGCCACCCTGTGAGGTTGCTATTTATTGTTACCATCCCCCTTTGACACATGAGGACACCAGCTCACAGATTCGTTGACGGTAAGTAAGATCTGATCTAGGATGTCACACAACCAGGGAGTGATGGGATAGGGTTCTCCCCAGCTGTGTTTTACCCCGACTCCCCTTGCTGTCTAACCTGCACTCTGGCCCATTGTTGGGAGCCAGAGATTCAGGTGATCACATGCTGTGATCACTGGGCAGTCTGGTTCTAGAAAACTGCTCTCAAGTCTGGCAAAACAATGGAGCTAAGTCAGAAGAGGGGAAAAGAAGGACAGGCTATGCTGGAGTGTCAGTGGGGAGCTGCAACACAGAAGCAGCACTGTTATTAGAGTGACTGTGCAGTGGATAAACTCTAGGCTCCCCAAATGCCATATTGGTGACTTGTTCAAATGCCCCTCTTGCCTCCATCATGCACCTACTCCCAGTGCAAAGAAATGCTGTGCACCCCACAAGGGAGCAGCTTTGTATGTGTGGCAAAACTGCAAAATGGAGACACAGAAATATTCCAAATTGGAAGGAAGCTTAGAGGTCCTGCTGTCTTGGCCTCTTGTATTTCAAAGATGAGTGCACTCAGGCCATGGGTGGCAAGTGACCCCAAGTGCCCATGTCAAAGCACTGGCAGAATCCAGAGACCAGATCTCTGGCTTTGGAAAGGGCATTCACTCATGGGACAAGTCGGCTGTTGGATGGATTCCACATGTAAAACACCAACCATTCATTTGTTATCCACCACCAGCCTTCATGAATACAGTCAAGGGGAAGGAGGAGGATCATCGGATTCTAAGCCTGAGTCAATATTCTGGGCCATCGGGGGCTGGCTGGTGACCTTGAACTTTGCCTCCCAAGGTGGAGGGTGAGAAGTAGTGGTTTCTTAAGAGAAGCTGAGACAAGCTGGGACTCAGGAAACCACGGAAACCCACCCAAGTGTACTTTGAGCACATCCGCCTTAGGCCACCATCCGAGGTATTAGGTGTTAGCACTCCCCAAAGAGAGAGAGACACAGACAGACACACACATGCACGCACGCACACACACACACATACAGACCCAGAAGAGAAAAAGGAAGAGGGTAAAAGAGGAGAAAGGCATAGAAGAACGGAATCCACACAGTCCAGCGCCGTCCATCATTCCTCTCCAACCGGGGCCGGACAGAGCGTCGCTGAGCCAGGTGGCAGGGAGCTGCCCAAGCAGCTCAGAGCTGTGTCCTTAACATCACACTGTCCACCCCAGATGGTTGTGAGGGGCGAGCACATAGCACAGAAAAGTGCCTCTGAGTGATCCTGTGCTTCTGGGGGTCCTGTTTGCTCCCAAAGTCTGCCCATGAGGCTTGAGTACCCCAAACCCTGAGTAGCAACCCAATCCCTAGGACCTGGGTATTTGACCTCAAAGTCCAAGAAACAATATATTTTGCTTTCACTTTACCTATTTTGACTGCAGCATCCTATTCTCTGAGATGGTGGCGGTGAAAGCTAGTTTGGAGAGGGGGCAGGAGGTAGCCATGGAGTGAGATATGCAGTCTTGGGGTTTTATGTTCTTCTCCTTTTGAGTGTATTAGTTGAATGTGTGTGACTAAACCATGGGTGATGTGATGCCACGTAGTAAATCAGTCACATTGTATACTTTTTAAAGCCATTCTACAGCTTAACAGTTAAGTTGCCCATAGCCTTCAATTTCCCAACTTGAAGGTAATGGCAGTTCTCAAATCCTTCTGTGAACCCACATCTCCTGGGGACCTGAAGATTCTGGGGTGGGGCTGAAGAATTTACATTCTAACTAGCTCAAAGTGGTGCTGAGAGGGCTGGCCAGGACCTGAACCATGAGCACCCAAGAAATCTAAAGTCATCAGCTTTGACTTGAAGATCACCCACGGACAGTGACATAGAGGCAGAAGATGTAGGTAACCCTGACACCCCTGATCCTGGCCGCTAGCAGTGAGGGGGAAGGGCAAGCACAGTCTCTTACCGTTTTTGGATGGGTCGTACTGGGTACAGCCAACTGCCAACTTCTCAACCTGCGCACAGCATCTCCATCTCCCATCTAGCCAGAAATTAGGGTGGTACTTGGGTGCCAGGCTGTTGTTATTCCTAGTTTCTGGGAGGGGTGGGACCAAAAGGAGAGTTATTTCCACATCAGTCATCCAGGGCCACCAACTTTAGAACTCCTTGAGAAGGGGCCCTCCTGGGTGAGCTGGGGGTGAACAGTACCTGAAATAGTGAGAAAATGATCTTTTCCCACCCCCACATGCACCTCTGGGGGTGGTATAGTTAGATTTAGGAGTCAGTACATCCAGGCTCTTGTCTGGATTTGCTGTGTGTCCTTGGGTTGGGTAAAACCTTCCCTTGGCCTGTTTCCTACTGTTCAATGAGGTTTTTAGACTGCATCCATGAGCTTCACCTGAGGGTTGTAAGGTGATGGGAAGGCCAGTAGGTGGGATTTTTGCCCCTCTATCTCTCCTGTCTTCAACCACAGTAGCTTTGTGCTGATTCCTTCTAGATGTGTGGCTTGGATGTAAAATTTTGGAAGGAAAGAAAAAGCACAAAGACTAGAGCGCTGGACAGAGGCTCACTACTGCTCCTCCAGCTTCACGCCTATGAGCACGAACCCTCCAGAGGGATACTGGCCAGTGATGTCCCAAGCTTTGCAGTGATGGGTATTTTCACATCCTGTGCCCGTGATAGTCTGGGCAGTCTGTCCATTCCCCCAGCACCTGGCTGTTCATATCCCTGAAAGGCCCCCAAAGACCCTGGAAGAAGATGACTTAGATTTTTATGCTAATTTCTCAGGGAGAGACATCATGGCTCCCAAGATTTCAGTAGCTTGTTCAGCCCTAGTCTCCCCTGCTCCTCAGAGACAGATTAATATCAGACCCCAGTTCTCCTGCAAACCCAGAAGTTTGGGCTAAATAGCAATGATCGTGACGCAGAGTATGCACCTTGGGTGGGCATTGTCCAAGAGGCATTGTCTTGTCCCAACTTGCAAACTTTTGCCAGAATCCGAAGGCTGTCATAGCTCAGATTTTACCACCCAAGAAACGGAGGGACAGATTTGCCCACAACACACAGTCATCATTGGCACAGCTAGGGCTTTCACCTTTGCCACCTGGTTCCACTCCCACGAACCTAAACATGTGTGCGTTCTGTTGATGTTGTCAGGAAGGTGAGCCTTAAGAATGGCCTGAGAGTGACCTGATGCCTGGTGGGTGTGGACCATGGGCCAGGCTGGTTCCGAGGATTTATGCAAGCAATTCTAGAGCAGCCCTTGCTGCTTTTGCTGCTGCTGCTACTGTTACTACCACTACGATGACTGCAGACGCTGCAGCAGCACTACTGCTACTGCTAATATTACCAGTACTGCAGCTGCTGCTATTACTATAACCCGTATTGTGACTGCTGCTGCCATCTTTATTATTCCCTCTTCCTCCCCTTTTTTAAATAGATGGGGAAACTAAAGCACAGAGTGGTTAAGGGTGTTACCCAGGCACACAGGACTTATACCCAGGACATCTAACTTCAGAAATCCACTTCTCCCCATGATACCTGGAGATATCAGGATGGGCAAACTTTTACTTAAAAGATAGTAAATAGTTTAGCTTTCACTCCCCAAAAGACAAGGCTGATAGCTTATCTAGATATCTTTACAATAATTTAAAACAGACCCATGAATACATGTAAAGCCCATCCTAAGTCTAGCACTTTACCAGACAAGAGGAAACTGGGCTGACAGGCTGCATGGGGGGCTGTTGCCTCTTGGGCCCAGGGTGAAGACTTGGGGCCTTCCCCTGGGGCCAAAAGGGAGAAATGTTTGGCCACCAGCTGCTCCTTATTCTTCCATGGATCTCAAGCCAATTAGCAGACCAAGGACCCCAGAGGTACAATGGAGGAGTAACTTTACCTTCTTTGAGGGTCAGCACCCAGCGCTGCCGGCTCTCACGGTCTGGAGCAAACACGTACAGGAGGTAGTTGTCGTGTACAACCTGGAGACATGGAGTCCAAGGTGAGCACTGTGCTGGCATAGTGGCTGACAGCAGTACCTTTGGGGCTCAGGCCAACTCGGAACCTGTGTCTTTTTAATCATCTATCTGGCTAATGCGCAGAAACACTGGGATTCCAAGTCAGGGCTACCTGTCTCAGTTTCCATGTCACCAGCAAAACACCAATATTTTAAAGCAGTTATAGAGAGCTCCTTCTGCTTTACTATGCACCATACTTAGTTTTCAGTAGTTTAAAATAAATAAATAAAACTTTCATGCATATAAAAAGTGTAAGTTATTCGATGAGAAATGCATAATTGGGATTGAAAACTACAACTCCCAGCAGTACCAGGGAGAGAACTGCAAGGACCCAAGGGCAGAGCTAAGCAGGCATTCTGGGACATTAGGGGATAAATAGGGCGCCATTGTGTCTCTTACTCTCTCAGTCCAGAAATGACTCTCTAGACCGCGGAGTGGGGACTTTCAGTTTTTTGTTACCAGAGCTCCAAGTCAGCCTAGCTGGTAAGATATTCCAGTTGTTTCCTTTTGTTTTTCCCTCTTATAAATAAACCCATTTTGACCCTTTTGTGTGTGCCTACAGCATAACTGAATTTTTTTTATTACAAAGTTTATTTTTACATTATTTTGCACATTTTTTTTT